ATCAGGTTGTTGTGAATTGATAACATGCCTAGCGTGTCAAACGACGTCGGAGATAATTTATGTAAATTTCATTAAAGCATTTTGCTATTTATGACATTTATTTTTATGCATTTGATTCTTTTTTTCGTCCAACTATTATGGTAAAACAATTAAAAACAATCATGGACTATGAGCTGTTAGGCCAAATGGTATATCAGCTCGTGTGGTCCACTCTCGAGGTCTAATTGTTAATGCGGGAATGATAATCCTCGAATTCATGCGCGAACGGAGATTATTGTCGTTTGCGTGTATTGTTTTACTTCGTTCTTTTTTTACTGTAGTTCGTTCTTTTTTTACTGTAGTTTTTTTTTTTTATTTACAAAATAACCTAAGTGACATAATATGATGCAAACAAAAACATAACGTTCTTTGATTGTGTAGATGTGTTTGATTGGTTACAGTGTAAGGGAATCCCACATTTTGCTGTATATGTCTCCGCTAGCTCTTTTATACAAAACCGGATGTCGGACAAATAAATAAATTATCTGTAATTTTCAGGATGAGTTCAGTTAAGATTTGTCAGGTGCTGCCATTAATTATTTATGTATACATGCGGATTATTATTGTATTATTGTGTTTTCATTTTTTCAGTCATTTTTGCTATAAGTTAAATACAATGATGGCAAGTTCTGATCCACTTTTCTCATGAGGATTCAATTATATTAAAAAAATAATAAGAGTCAAATAGARGGAATAGCGTAATCGTAGAAGTCATAAAATGATATAGTATATTTTCTGGTTTTGTGTGAGCACACTTTAAAAAAACAGTCCCCCAATTGTCCTCCACTTTTAAAATGTCTCGTCTGCCGCTTGATCGTGTTCAACACAATCGYTTTGACTATACACTGAGTTATATATGCACCTGTTGGTAAAATATCCCCGTGTATATGCTGTCTCAACGATATGAAGGCATACTACATGTTTGCTATAATGCCTAGATGCACCAGAGGACCACAGAGCTAACGAATTCAAAACCTATAACGTGTGATGGTTGTGACATTTTGCTMTCATTAATTTGAGGTGCATAATCAATTAGCTCTTCAGGGATTTTGTTTGTTCGTTCTATTTCTGGTCCTCGACGTACAACAAAACMAGTGTTGATGCACCCGGAAATAGCGTGGGTAGATAGATAGACACAGGAAGCTAGTGATTGTAAGTATATTCTCAGACAGTTTTGCTTAATTATAGTTCTAAAAACAAAATTTCGACTGAGTAAGTTTTGTTTTTTCAGTCTTGATAACTTACGCTTGCAAAGTTGATCTGAAATCGCTTTTGTTTCTTATACACTTATCATGTGCACRGGTGATTAAAGCGAGTCTTTCATGCGTGATCAACTAAGCGAACCATCCTTGCGTAGATCGCGTGGGAGGAACAGTGGGAGTGTCTATGGGAGGAATTATTTCGGTATTTTTTAAACAAAATCTTAACCATCATCCTTTCGAAACAGTATCCTTTCGTCAGTTGTGGAATATTCGGTWAGTATAAACATCAGTTTCTCAGTCAACGGTGACATAAATCTTACGTTATCATCAGGTACAAAGCACGAGCTGCATCAATCACATCACATGAAAAACTCGAGCATTAATCATGTGAATGTTTCGAGAATGTTGAAATTGAATTAAGTTATGATCAAATGTTGCAGTTAAGGGATGTAGTGTATTATGGATTATGTTCATGTATTCTATCATAGTTT